CCTCCCCGAGTACTTGTGGAAGACAGAGACAATCACAGCCAGCGCCTGCTCCAAGGGACACGCCATGGCCAGCCTGGAGGGCAGAGAACCAGGCAGGGGGTCAGGCCATGGGGGTCTGTGCCCCCCACCCTGCCCAGAGCAGCTGCAGGGAGCAAGGGGAGCAGAGACTCACCGGGTCAGATGGATCAGGCAGCACTGAGGAGATGAGGTGGTGCAGACAGAACACGTTGGGCATTTATAGCCTGGCCAGGGTGGCACTGCCCCCTGTGCCCCACACTGCCCCTCTCTCCCCCCTCCCCAGGCTTTCCCAGCAGCTCCAAGCAGGTGGTTTCACCCACACCCCATTTTTGTCTAACGAGCTGTGTGATCCTATTAGAGGGAGGGGAGGGGGTTTGGGTGCTACTGGGGCTGGGCAGGGCTGGGGCATCCCTCAGGGCACCCCAGAGAAAGGTGGTGACCAGCCCATGTCACCTTTAAACAATCACTCACTGTCCCCATGCCACCAGCTCTCTGGGTGGCCACAGTGTAGTCCTGAGCACTCCCATCCTGGTGACCCCAATGAGAGCTGAGGAGGTGACAGCAGATTGATCTGAGCCATGGGCTGGGGCATGATGCCAGCTGGTGGGTCCACAAGCCTCAGCACAGCCCAGGAGACCCACGTCCTCCTTCCAGTCCATCACATTGTCCTCCAGGTCCTTCAGCATCCCCCAGAAGCTGAGCTCATCCCCTTAGAGTGTCAGTAGGGTCCAGGACGGTGCTCACTGGCCGTGGTGGGTATCAACCAGGACAGGTGGGTTGGGCACATGGGGGAACATATTTCAGGGAGAAGCAAAGCCTTCCCTGCCCCCCAAGTGGGGAGAAGGGACACAAGGAGGGGGGAACATCCCAAATTGGATGTCCTAACCCTGGCAGTGTTGGATAAACCTTCCAGGCTGGATAAAGCCTTGAGCAATCCGGTGGGAGGTGTCCCTGCCCGATGAAGGGGGTTGGAACTAGATGATCTCCAAGGTCCTTCCAACCCCTTAAAATGTTAAGGGGATCTATGAACTGAAATAAGATGTTGGGGTTTGGTCAAATCCACCTTGAGAGTCCCTTCTGGAGAAAGCCCAGGCAGGAACCGGCTCCAGATGCTGCCGGAGCGCTGCGATACCCATGTGAGCAGCCTGGCACAGCTCCCAGCCCAGCCCCAGAGCTCGGGGTGATTCACAGCCCCAGTCCCAGCCCGAAAGGGATTCCTCCGGCCTGACTCAGCCCTGCCCTGCCCCATCGGCTCCCACGGGGGCACCCCGGCACCCTCGGGACCGCGGGGAGGGCTCGGGGGGCTGCGTGGGGTGGCTGGAAGGGGATGGGGGTCCTGGCTCCACGGTGCTGTCACCCCCCTG